AAGATACTTTTTCCATGTCCATACGTAGCAAGTACCTGTCTGTGTATGTATGTATGTATGTACTGCGGTCTACAAACGGTTCCTTCTAAAAGTTACTTTCCCAAAATCGGCATCCGAATCTCATTGACAGAGAAGGAATCAATCTTGAGTCGCTATGTTTTCGGTCCCGGACTAAATGCTGCAACTGTACAAAACTTTCTACCGTATATGTACCATGACTTGGTTGAGCAATGAGTAATGAGTAGACAGTTAGACGCTTACCAAACTCTCTTGTAAAGGGGGTTAATGTCATGTTAGAAAAGTCACAGATTTCTAACCATACCTAGCTAGGCGTTTAGCAGTTACCAGACAATAAAATATACCCTGGTCCTCGAATTCCGAAAGAACAAGAGGAATTCTTCTACTGTGCATTCAAAGTTTTGCCGAATTTCCTGCGTAGGCGATGGAATAGATGAAAATGGCATTGTCTCCCGATTCCTAATTCATCTCGAATCAACAAACTTACGAGGCTTACATCTACCGGCCGGCATGTGAGCAAGGTTGGGGTCGACTCACAGCTCGCCATTTCTTCCTAATGCTTTTTGTTTAATCATCTTTTCTATGGGTGGCAGCTATACTTTCCGCTTGTATATGAGCTACGTAGGTAATAAACAGTATTGATTCGACAGCATGGCTGCGAGAAGTAGTTCGATGGTGCTTCGAAAGAGCTTCCACTAATAAAGATTGAGCCTTCCCAAACCTCTTTTTCCACATCCCTCGACGCATCCAACCATCCATTTGTGAATCCCGAAGTTTCTTCGCACCGTCAAACTCGCAATGCTACCTAACACTCTTCAATAACATGCCACCAACGCACCATCTGATAACACAAGAAACGGTTTGCTCCGTGATATCATCTACCTCAAACAGCTTAATACCCAGCAAGCCAAATGCAGCACCATGTACTGTGTACAACACATTCAAAACATTGTCCTACTAAGTCCTACTTGGTCAATCAACTCACACGCTACCGCCAGCTCAGGCCCTGATGCATTTCATCACTTTCAGAACAGCCACGCTGCCTTCGCACACTCGTCCACGAATGCTATGCGGCCAAGTATGATCGTGAGGCAATGAAACTCAACCAAAGCCGCACGTCCGGCTGGTGACAGGTCTTTTCCCGGATAGAGACACCCTACAAGTTACGAAGTACTCCTTTAATGCTCAAATTTCTTTTTTGGGCAAAGTCTATATTCAGAAGATCTCTCCAATAGGAGCACAGATTCCGAACTCCCGAGTTGCCATGGCCACTGAAAACAAGAAGTTGGCCATGGGTTCCTCACAGTCACGACGAATTGGAAAATGGAAGTTGACGATCCTTTCTTTTCCACCTCCAACGCTGATCAAGTTGTGTTGGTGAGAAGATTTTGTTATTTTATTGTATGGGTTTTCAAGCAGCCGTCAGAGTGTTTTCTGCATGCCGCTTTTTTATTAAAGTCCCGGCACACTTGCCGAATTATGTGACATGGATTCCAAGAATGTTGTACTGCGTGCTGCGTCATCTAGAAGAAACACACAAACGGTGTGGCGGTACGGAGTAATATGTGCTAGGTACCTGCTACCAACCAGGTCGATACTGTGGATGTAATCTTTTGATTTTCATTCATTTGTGAAAAGGTTCGGGATTTCTTATCGATTCGGCTTATCACTGGTCAATCTTCCTGTTAAACTTCTCTTGGTGTCATAAGTTCATAACATCCAAACTTTCAAGATCAATGTTGTTGTTGTTGTTGACTACCTAGTCACCTAATGTTCCGAAATTGGGATCTATATGATTACTTACCACTATCGTCTTCGTCGTCGTCATCAGGAAGTATTCGGATTGCTCTGAGCCATTGATAAAAATAACAACTATCCCGCGACCAAGCACAACAGCGGCTATATGCTCGGTTGAGAGAAATGTTATCCTTTTCTGTGTGGCGCTACCACTGCATTATCGACATGCTCAAATCATCCAAGGCGGCCATGTTTACCACTCTGTACGGGAACTTAAGAATCAGGATAGGCTCTTAACTGCTTACAGGCTTGGATGAAAGTTAAACCTAGCTTCTACTTCGTTTCTTTGCTTCATTTGGGTCGTCTATCCGTCCTAAACCATGCAGCACTCGTCCCGTTCACGAATCACCATTGGTATTCGGCGTTTATAGCATGATGATGGAACAATCCCCAATTTTCAGATAGTTGGGTGTTCTCTACATATCTCAGTGCTACTGCAGTCTGCAGCTCTCAAGGTTTCTACACTATGAACGCATAATATTTTATTCAGAAAGATCAAACGTCAAACTGATACCCTCTAAGAAAGCCAAGTCATTGACCAACTTCGTATCGATAAACTTCAAACCTTGCACCAATGAAAGCCGCCATGCTAACACCTAAAGGCTTCTAGTGCATTCTCGATCTTATCTTATGGAAACTATGTAAATCTCTAACACGACTCATGACTCGTGACTGGTGCAATATATCGCAATATTGGAAGTATACCGCCCAAATTCTTAATGCAATACCTACCGCACTTTGACTTTTCTTTACCGAGGTTCAGGCGATAAGCTGCTCTTCTATCGAGAGCGGAGAGCAAGTCTCGATCTCCAAAAACAGTTTTTCTTCCGTACGCGTGCGTGGCTGCCAGCGATCAAATATAGCTGGCTGGCTGCCCTACCTTCGATATCGTGAGGGTTGGGAATTTTAACCCCTTGCTATCCGACAACAATTTCCCCAAGTGCTCTTTTCGACATACCACACGATGGTAATGGCGCCGAAGGGATTTTACACCGCTCGCCTCCACATGCTGACTGGAAGATATTCTATGAATCAAGTCCTCGATGTACAATGTCAGGTGATTGTAAAGGATTACATGAAGTACCTACGTTTTGTAGACACATCATCCGGCCTATTGAAAGCTTGCTAGATGGAAGATTCGAAAGGGTTGATGCACTGGAAGACCCGCGTACGAAGCATCCATCATGCGGTGTAACAGGAGTATTTTCCCTGTACACAAAATCAGCAGCATTCACAGCGTTTTAAATCGTCTTTGTTCATGATTCGTTAATCTAACGATTCTGATCTGAGAGAAAGTCAGGGTCGAATCTAACAAATTGCATTATGAGCTTCGTGTCAAAAGGATCGAACCAAAAAGTCTCACCAATACATAATTGGATTGCTAGATTGCCAGACAACTCATTATTTAACGGAAGAGGCTGGCAGGTTACATTCCAAAACGAGATCTGCAAGGATTTATGCTTGATCCTCTCCCAAGTCAACCTGTCAAGCAGGGGGAAAAGAGGTCAGACCCATTTCTTTGCGCTTCCATGCCCATTTTTTTATTCTTCAGGGCGCGCCGTTTCCGCTACTGTTGACAGTGTTGATTTCTCTTCTTCGATGTCTTGCTGTTATAACAATAATGCCACGTTCCTAACTTCTTACGAGTCATGCATGGAAAAGCCCGTGTTTCAGTGCATCAAAAGTGGGATGCTATTGTATCGTCCGAATAAGCATTGTTGAGGCGGTACTGTGCGACAGAAGTTGTGTATATCAATACTCGATATTCCACTGCCTCGCCTCGCGACCTGGTACCACAGACTTATTGCCAAAACTGTCCGTAATATATACTCGAGGTAATGTTTGTTCTCTGAGCAGGATGATACGATCTGAATATAGCACATTTTAAAATTAGTGTGCTCTCGATCAGACTCTTCAACTTCAAGTGAAGTAATTTCAAGGATCATTTGATTCTTTCACATGTTCTATTGCCTCGCTCCTCTTAATTTCTTTTACTCTGTACTATAGGTCTACCATGACCGCTATGATCACAAATTCTGGACTTCGGGTCTAGATTGAACAATAATTCATTTCCACCGATAGCTTGAGTAGGTGTATTCTCTTACACTTATTTCTGCTGTCTTCGTATGTAAGATGAGGCGGATTGAAAAAGTTTCAAACATTAATTGACATCCAAGAAGATCTTCGCTTCACCTTGTCTCGCCTGGATTTCATGATAAAATCTCGTAATTCGGGTCACATGATTCACCCTGCCTCCAGAATTCTGGATTGATGATCGTTCTATATATAAATTTTACCGAGATAAGAAGAAGTGGTGCCCCTTACAAGGCTGTGTAATTTCCTATTGCCACAAATAAAAGAAGCTTAGTATTTGAACCATCGATTCTCTGCTTTCTTTTGCAAATACACTCACTGACAAACAAACAAACCACCTTCGTTTTATTTCACACAATTCTACAAGCTCAAGCTTTTTGATCTCGAAAACCTTTGAAAATAATATCAACCACCTTTCTCATCACCAATTCACTCCTCGTTCAAAATGCAGCCTTCCATCTTCCTCGTTGCTTTCGCATCTATTGCAGCAGCCGCTACTGCATCTTCTGATTCCTCATCTGCAACCAGCGCTGTCGCCCCACTCGCCAGCGGCACCTTCACCAACGGAACCGCATCCAACGGTACTCTTAGCGGCTCCGCGACTCGTTCTCCTTCGGCTTCATCTACTGGAGATGCGGCTGGTTCAGCAACTAGCAAGGCTGCTGGTTCCGCCAACTTTGTCTCAGGAGGTGCATTCGCCGCAGCCGCTGCAGGAATGGTCTACCTCTTGTAGTTTTCGATCGATCTTTGGCTTTCAAATTGTTGTGATACCCGGGTCATTGCATGCGAGAATGTCACCCTCTTGATTACTATTTGGCATGCATGGCGTTGCTTAGGGTACTCTTCCAGATAAGATTGAGTGTGCATTGGAGGAGCTTCGGAACGGTGGAGAGCATAAGGCTTAGACGGAGACGTACATTCAGATGTGGAGATAATATAACTATCCTGGCATTCTTTACATGCTAGCTTCAATTCTATCATACCCTCTTTAGACTACCAGTTGCCAATGAATGTGATAACTTTTAAATATTAGACGTCATTGACTATCCTCTATCTACGAATGAAAAAGCAGTACTCATAAGCTTTCTGAGAGAATCGTATATTGAAGATGTTTGAATTTCAGAATTTCACAATGATATCAATTTGCGTTCAGACACGAATGGGCCCAGAAGATATAACAGCTTCATAGCCCATCAATGTTCTGGTTCAACTTCCGATTTTAAATACCGATTGTTCAATTCGATAATGAATATTGAATAGAGCATATATTTTCGATGACCCGTCCGTTCTGTCCTTCTGGGACTAGCTTCAACAAATTGATTCTCCATGGATTATCACCAACCACGATCTAACCTTTAAACATCGGAACAATAGACCATCAAAAGCAATGCTACTATGATAAATGACAGAGTACAAGGCGTCTTACAGAAACGATCATCCCCAGCTCGCTGGAAACCAATACCAAGCACTAGACACGACTGTAGAACATAGCACCAAAACAGCTAAACATGCAAACGAATCTAGATCCAGCTCCTGTGACTTCAATTTCATGCATGCAATAGGATATGGATGTCCTGGGCGGATCTATGCCTTTGTTTGTGCGAGTCGTAGCAGAAATATCGCCATCGTACCACCGCACTAGCAGGGCTTCAGGCTGATAGGTATTCCAAGCAGCTTCATGCTTGAGAAAGAAATGACTATCCCGGAGAAACATGTGTCGCGTCTAACATGCAACTATACATTCGGCATCGGCATAGTGCATTTGTGCCGCTTTGATCAGCATTGGTGGTGTCGCACATGTCATATTAATCCAATCATAGATTATTAGAAGCCATGATATGCATTGTTAGACAAATGGAGAATAAAGGGAGAGCCGATGGGGCCTAGAATAGCTTCAGCTTATTTCTCGGTTCGGTATGATATGTTGGAGACTTTAGGTTGGGCATTTCATTTGGAGCATCGGGCGCAAATCCGATATGCAACAAAACTTCTTGTGTGAGACCCGAAAGACCGTTAGAAGGATGATTGTGTGACAGGTGGTTACTCAAGTCATGTGGTTGCAATAAATTCTGGATATACATTGACTTGCGCATTAGGCCTTAATTTTTACCCCACCTGAAATTTATACGGTAGCCGAAATAATTTATCGAGTTTTCGAGATTCTTGACTGATGAGGAAGTAATCTGGAGCCGGTGATTGCATCGCCATTGACAACCTCAACATAAGATGTCGACCTCTACAGTTATTCGACCTGCAGTTCGCAGTCTGCTACGAGTACGAAAGGCAGCAAATACCCCGCCAGCATTCCTCCTTCCCTGCCTACAAAGCTCCTCCACAACTTCATCATGCACTCAATCCACCTCCTTCTCTACCAGCAGCACATACCTATATCCCCGGGATATGAACCGTCTGCGCGGAGTATCTACACAAAGACGAACGGGGCCCCGTCAACCTCTCTCAGTATCCAATGCGAAACTACCCCAGCCAGTCCTAGATGAATCGAAACGATTAAAAGTTAAGGTTGATGAGAATCACGGGTTATATGATTTTTTCAGACATAAGGATAAGGCACTTAGCACGCCAGCTGAGGAGGGAAGTCATGGTAGACCATGGAGCGCAGAGGAGCTGAGGGGGAAAAGCTGGGAAGATTTACACTCTCTTTGGTGGATTTGCTGTAAGGAGAGGAATCGCATTGCCACGGAAAGTTACGAGAGACAGAGGTTGGAGGCGGGTTACGGCGATGAGGATGCGGAGAAGAGGGATATGACTGTGAGTGGTTATCTCGGCTTATGTCCTATTTGGCTCATGTGCCGCGCAAATTTAAGGATTGAGGATAGAAGCTAATTTCGGGGATCACAGGTTCGGAGAACACAGAGAGCTATCAAACAAGTTTTGACTGAAAGATATTATTCGTGGCAAGAAGCGGAGGTTATTGCGAAGGATGATCCAGAAATTGACTTTTCAGGCGAAGGACCATTATACACCCCCAGAGATTTTGAGGAAGATATTGAGGAGGATGTGTTGGCTGAAGCTGAAGGAGAGGCAGAGCCAAAGCCTGCTCAGGTTACGGCTTAGATCATGGAAGATGTATGATAGAGGATCATACCCCTTGATCAAAAACAATGAGTCTTAGGGAGGGAGATGTGTCTCCAATTGGCATGAATGATTTGGTTTCCTACAGCCATCATCTGTATAAGTAGAAACGCATATGGGGCAAAACAGCTATGGCCGCATTATGCATTTATGTGAATCTGAGAAAAGGATTATCTGTGTCTAGAACAATTGGAAAGATTGATACTGTACAAATAGAATCTTTCAATACTTGGTACTGTTCAGAAAGATATCAAAGTGAAAGTTTCAATATATGTGAGTACCGTTAGAAATTCAAATTAACAGATTCCATGCACCAAATACATATATCAATTTGTCAAGACCCAAATTCAATCGCGACAATTTACCAGGAACTCCACAAATTCGCCCCTGAGCATAATTACACCAAGACAAAATCTACCAGCAGCAACAACAAAGCGGTACTCCAGTTTCCCCTTTAGCGAGGCCAATCAAGAGAATTGGTGAAGCAGAACGACGTTGTACGTCTCACCGACCATTTCCATAACTGCCCTTGCAATTTCAGCATAAACCACATTTGCGATTTTTCCTCAGCAAGAAAGCTTTCTATATTCTTCTTCTTCTACTTCTTTTCCCAAATCAACCCTACTACCTAATAAATATCAAGATTCTAATTCAAGATGGATGAAATCGCCCCCGAATATGATGTTGTCGTTTTGGGCACTGGTAAGCTTGCTTAACCCCGCATCGGCTGGAGGGGCATGGATAGGAGCATTTATGCTTTTTTTGGAGGATATATGGCTAATACTGAACTCTAGGTTTGACGGAATGTGTTCTTTCTGGGTATGTCGACTTGGGAAAAGTTGATGAGGTTCTATACTGATGTTTGGGGGATAGAGTTTTGAGTGTCAAGGGTCAAAAGGTCTTGCATATTGATCGAAATGATCACTATGGAGGGTATGTATCTCAAGCTTGCAAAATGGGTAGATAAGTCAACAAAAGCTAATCTCTTAATAGTGAAGCTGCTTCCGTCAATATCGAAGCTGTGAGTACGATTTTTGGGTCTGCGAAGCTCTGTTCTGACAATCACGATAGCTCTTCAAGAAGTACGGAAATTATAATAAGGGGGAGGAGCCATGGAAGAAGTACGGACGTGCCAATGATTGGAATATCGATTTGGTGCCAAAGCTTTTGATGTCCTCGGGTGAACTCACAAATATCCTCGTTTCAACTGATGTTACGAGATATCTTGAGTTCAGATCTGTGGCTGGAAGTTATGTACAACAAGGTACTGGTCAAAAGGCCATGGTTGCCAAGGTTCCATCTGATGCTGGTGAGGCTTTGAGATCATCTTTAATGGGCATCTTTGAGAAAAGAAGAATGAAGAGTTTCCTCGAGTGGATTGGCACATTCGATGCTGCGGATCCTGCTACTCACAAGGGTAAGATGGTTGAAACATCTCCTATTCAAGAATTTACTGACAGAATCAAGGACTCAACATGAGCACCTGCACCATGAAGGATGTTTACGACAAATTCGGACTCGAGACTGGTACTCGAGACTTCCTTGGTCATGCTATGGCTCTATACCAAACCGATGACTATATCAACGAGAAGGGCACAGCTCCAGCAACCATCGATCGCATTCGTTTGTATGGAAACTCAGTCGCCCGTTACGGAAAGTCCCCATACATTTACCCAGCATACGGTCTCGGTGAACTTCCTCAAGGTTTCGCTCGTTTGTCTGCTATTTACGGTGGTACCTATATGCTTAATGCAAGCATTGACGAGTTCAAATATGATGGAGATAAGATCTGCGGTATCAAGGCTTCTATGCACGAGAAGGATGCTCAGGGAAATGACTCCATCATGAATTTCGAGACTAAGACAAAGAAGATCATTGCAGACCCATCATACTTCCCTGACAAGGTTCGCGTTGTCGGTCAACTCTTGAAGGCGATTTGCATCTTGAACCACCCACTTTCTGGAACGGATAATGCTGATTCTGCCCAACTTATCATTCCTCAATCTCAAGTCGGACGCAAGAACGGTATGTTTCTTGAGGATTAAAAGCATTGCGGTATTGTGACTGACATTTATAGATATCTACATTGCCGTTGTTTCCAGCGCCCATAGTGTTTGTCCAAAGGGTTACTACATCGCCATTGTCTCCACCATTGCCGAGACCGATTCAAACCACCATTTGGAACTTGCGCCAGGTCTTGAGCGTCTTGGAAAGATTGAGGAGAAGTTCATGGTAAGTAATTCTTCTTGTACCACTATTCGGCGTGCCCAAAATTCCTCAGAGCTAACATAAACTACTAAATAGGGCCCACCAATTCCTCTCTATGAACCACTCGAAAGCGGCGAGAAAGACCGTATCTTCATCTCTAAATCTTACGACGCCACATCCCATTTTGAAACTACTACAGATGATGTTAAGGATATCTATCGCCGGGCTGAGGGACATGATTTGGTTGTCGAGGGTTTGAGAGAGGGTACTAATTTGGTTGGAGGGGAGCAATAAATCTTGATTGATGATACATGCATGAGCGGAGAACATTCAGAGAATTGAGGAGTAGATAGTTAAGGTTATACGTACATAGTGAGGATGAATATGGATAGGAGGTCCTTGAGCTATCGAGTGGACAGAAAGCTTATGTATAGGAATGGTATAAGGTACTTTTTTTGCCTGTGCAGTTTTTGATTTATGTTTATAGTTTTAGTAATTGTTTGATTCGTTTGTTTATGCACAGCCAATCTTCTTTATAATAGCAAGTCCTTATTTTTTTCAACTAGGAGCGAAGATGAGAAAATTTTCAATATCTTTTTTTATGTATGGACGTGTATTTTCTATGTTTTGATGTTCGTTTTAGTCTTTCCTTTTGCCTTTGCCTCTATCTTTATGTTATCGAGCTTGGGCTTAGCCTTCGAAAGGGAGAGGGGGTATAAGTATGGTTGGATGGGAGATATGAATGGATACAGGGGAGAGGGATGATGGCGTGCGAGGTGTGCATGGGCGTGTTTTAAGCTGCGAGTCTCATGATGTGATCCTATTCTTTATAGTTCGGAGGAAGGAGGGGGAGGTATGAGGGAGATAGATAGAAGGCTTGGGGTGGTGAAGGGGGTCCTGGATTGCCCGGTTACTAGAACAATGAATTCGTGTCTGGTATGCTTGGGTTTGAGTTTTGGTTTGCGTGAGTCCGTGTCGGGGAAGAAAGGGGGGAATTTCCGGACGTTGATGATGGATGGTAATAGTTTTGGTGGTTACATTTGAATGTGTTTGGATTGGATTGGGCTAGGTCTAAACTTTTGGATGGGTGTGGTTAGTTTATTCTGAGGAGTTGCGGGTTACTGGTTACGGGTTACTTGGACACTTAAATTCTGTTGGATGAGGCGTAGTCTGGACTCTGTGTTGATTGTGAGGTGGTGGTGGGTGCCTGTGTGAAGAGTTGTGTTGTTTGTGAAGAGGTGTGTATTTGGATTTGGATTTGTAGAAAGAAAAGTCTGAGAGATCTTGCCCGATATTGTAACTCCACGGACTGACTTGGGCTAGCGATTCGATAGATAGAAGCCTAGGTTGTTCGCTAAGAGTTGGTTAGGGGGGTGATGGGACGATGGATGGTTGGTAGCTGGGCGGTGAGTTTATGTTGGATTGCAGGTGAGGTGCTTGGGGGGTTGCTTGTTTGGGTTGGGTTGGGTTGTTGGTGGAAGGATGGGGGTATGAGGATGGGAGGGAATGGAAGGGAATGGGAGCAGGGTGTATGTGTGAGGGAGAGAATAGAGGGGGCTTTTTGGATATTGTGTAAGCGTGTCTATCTTGCTTATTGCATCATATCATCCATTCGTTCGTCGGTTCTATTTGCAACCAAGTCAAGATTGGATTTGGGTACTTGATCACCCTGATACAAAAAAGAAAAGAAAAGTGAAAGTATAAAGCAATAGTAACGGCCGTGAAGAGGAGCCACTTTGGGATAAGTCGACGTTCGAGATAGTAAATCTGGAGGGGGAGATTTAGAGGTAGATTGCAATGAGTGGCTTCGATGAAGGTGGATTTGAATTAGAATGATAGGGGATTGGGTAGATGGTTTATTGGTACTTTAGTTTAGTGGTGGGCATAAAATGAGATAAGCCGGGAAGAATGGAAAATTTGGATGAATGCATGAAGCAGTGAACACTGATAGATGTGTGTAGGTATCCGAATTTACGCAAAGAGAAAGCATATTAAGACTTCTTTACAATTCTATGGTGTTTTTTAAGCCAAGATATATTTCAGCTATAAATCCATCAACCAACCCCTACAACTTGAATAACATGACCTGACAAACCCAAAGATCCCCTACAAAAGTTCAACTAAACAAACAATTGCTCTCCCCAGCAACTTCATAGCCCTTTCTCATACCGCTACCACAGATCTCGACCTCAAGTTACCATGGCCAGAAAGTGACCGCGTTAAACCGAGGAAGGATTCTTGTTATCCTGATTTGTGTATATATACTCCATCTTCCTCTTCCAGATGATTGCCACCCATCGTACCCTATCAAATTGTTCTTCCTTCTCCATCAAACCCCCCGATCAACAACGCAGAGGCCAAGAACGTTCTACAAGGATTATAGAAATCTCTCAATACATGGAGAAGGAGGCTAGTGGCGAGGGATTTCTTTAAAGGGTTACTAAAGAATAGTGAGGTGGTCGGGATGTCGCGAGAATCAGTTGAAATGCTTTCAGTGCTTTGCCTCCACCAAAACTTGAAACGGAGATGGATGTTGACGCTGAGTCGCTGACATGTGGTCGCTCCTGGTTACCTGTCGTCTATTGCAAATAGAACAATCAATTAGCAGGAGGATTAAGCTTCGATCTATTTGTTCTTGTGTGTGAATAATCTTTAGAGGGAGGAAAAGCTTTGCACAACCTAACCACATCGACATTGAGCCCTTAATACTATGACAATCATCGTCGTCCTCGTTAATTACTGGTGCATTCATGCAAATGGAAGGAAAATGAGTATAGTCCTTTGATTATATTCTTGCCGCTCGTATCGTCCTCTGTTGTTGCAGCCGCTAACACATATGACGATGGCTAATAGAGCGGGGTCGTGGTATGTGAACACGCATGGATGTCGTCATTATGAGTTGTGGTTGTTGAGATGTACCTTAAAGTATCGTTGCCATTCAGCTAACGAATAAAGAAGACACTATAAGGATAGAAGTAAGGCGTCATGAGAAAGCAATCCACAGTTAGTGACTCAACATTGCTTCCGGAAGTGATTGTCTCGATGCCGACTGAGAAACGAAAGCAGAAGAAGAAAATGAATTGGGAGTTCGAAAAGCTCGAAAAGTTCTTACTTGACACCCCGTACCATGGGGTTCTCCGTGATACGATCGCAATGCAACGTAGCTGGAGGTACAGAATATGTATGTAGAAACCGAAGCCAAAATTCTGTCAGCGAAAGGATTGGATATATGCTTATCAATCTCTGGAGCTTAAGCTAAACCACGGCTTGCTAGCTCATGGTGAGATGTTCCTGAGACTTCATGCACCGTGCGAATGTTCAGTTGGGTACTGGCGATTGGAGTGCCGAGTACTTGGCTTGCTCTCTCGAGGCCGCATGGTCCAATGATGTGCTGTGTATTCGTCAAGGAGATAAGAGCGATGGAATATGCCGACTTGTGCAGTGATTGTGATGCCAGCAGTCTGTTTCGTAGTTTGATCAGAAGTATTGTTGGAGCAACACACCTTGGTTGCTAAGGTGTAATGAGACGTTGGGATGCAACTTAAAGGTTGGCTTGTTCGGAGATTTGGTGCAAACAGTCTTCTTCAAATGAATTCCAAAAGATGATTGTCCGAATAGATCTGCACATTGGCAGTGAACAGCAAGTGCTCCTTAGTCGACATGTAGGTCCCGAAGTACTAAAATAACGATGATCAGTGAATAGCTCCGAGCCAAATCTCAACCACTACGACGAAACTAAAAGTCCTGTTCTTATGTTGAGCGGCGTGGAAGGAACAGTGATGTCTAAGATTAAAGAAACGCTATCACTTGCGGATCAAAGAAGTGTTTTCAGGAGAGCAACAAGTTATGGACAAATGATGCTAGCAGCAAAGTGATAGTGGTTGTAGTTGATGAAGATGCGATGATAGATTCGATGAGGAAGTCGGCGGATTGTGTATTGGAAAACTAAAGCAGTAACAAGAACTGTGACCGTAGGACTCAGCATATGAACTGCTCTCTCCATTCCTCTATTGGGTCCATAATTGACTGTCACCGGAGTAGAAGCGATCCTCTGAGCAGATATAGTGCCAATTACCCAAGAGAGTGGAGCAAATATCAATCTCTGCAACCAGAACTGAAGTCTTGTGTTGATATAGCCGACCAGCTATCATTCTGCAAAGCAAAACACAGCTCATTCATGCGAGAGAGCAACAGGAATTGAGGTTGGGTATTGATACAGCTGAAAGGCCACTAATCCGAAGAGCGAAGCAAAGCTCAATCCCTGTAACAATTTAACGAAAACCGAGATTGGGTATCGACACAACTGAACGACTGTTACTCTGGAGAGCAAAGCAAAGGTTGATCAAAGTCGCGAACCCCGAAATCCTTGTATCGATATAGTTGACCGGGGGAGGGTCTACGCTAGTGCCATCGGGCCACCTGATTTGAATATTAGGAAATGAAAAAAGGCCTGTATTATATTTAATAAGAGATGAAAGCTTACCGGCTCCCTCCACGACCCTGTTATTGCCAAGAACCATTTTAACGCCTACTTGTCTCTATCGTCCGAAACGGTTGGCTTGGAAGACTGGACCTCGTTACCAGCATAATAATTGTTGTTAACAATATTCTGCTGGCCCATGACTGTTGGCTTTACTGCCTTGAGTGTTGAACCCAAGGTTAGAAAAACGGCCGCAACAATACCGTGACTGACCAAGGCCCGAGTCTTTGGGGTTGATTATCGCCATCCAGCGGCGATACGTGAGCTGAAAGAGGTAAACATTGCTTTCCAGAGTGATCACTTGTCTCGATGAATCGGGGGGGGGGGGAGGGTAAAGTAGAGTAAGTATAAAAACGCTGTACTTTTGCTGTTGATATCAATCGAGAAACGTGCTGGGGAAATGGCTGAAGAAAAAAGAAAAGAAGGAGAAGAAGAGAGAAAAGGTGGGAATGTGAGCACTTAAGTAGTCTGTGACATTTGTTTGTTGTTCTTCCCTCAAGTGCATTTGGAAAGTTCTTCTTATGGCAGCCACGGAGATCATGGGACTCGTTGGGCAATAGCAGATTGGCGATCGATGATGACGACTGACTATTATTGGACTTACTTCCTACCGGATCTCAATTAATCCCCAATAAGAACGCAAATGTAAGGACTATGGGAATACCTACCTTAAGACAACAAAGTGTGCAATATAATGGCTGATCAAGAAAGAGCGACACATATAGTCAAGTAGAATACACAACTGATAAAATGCTCGAGAAATGTATACGCACATCGACTAAGGATTTGACTTCCATCTCACATTTCGAGGTCTGTCATCGTAACGATCGAAACAATCAGGTTCCAGTCCTGTAAAACGACTCCTAAGAAAAACAAAAAGCACTCGATGGTACTCTGCCATTTCACCCTTTGCCTTCTACTTCTGAAATGCGACATTATATCCTTGAATGCCAGAATTTACTACCCAGCATACCTACCTAGTAGGCAGAGCATTGTGTGAAATGAACATTCGGTCCAAGAGAATACATTTTCGAATATATCGGGAACATCGAACGCCCTTTGCTCCTCTCCCGTCTTTTTCTTCTCGTCAATATTTCATTGCCAGAATCTTTACTCGACTCTCTAATCATCCGGCATAGTATTGAACTCCCCTATTTTCCCCTCGTGTTTCTCGTTGTATAATATAATATCTTCACAACAATATATTCTGAAACTCTTCTCTCTTCAACTATTTGCAATAGCAGAGTATAAACATAACGTTGAGAGAATTCTTCGATCCAGCCGATCCTGGCATCACCAAATTGGTGACGCATGATGCATCAATTGGCTGTCGACTTGATCGAGTATTGTGTGCTGGTTTGAAAGGATGTTTGGGATGTTTTGAACAATATTCATAAAACTACCCTGCGGTGTGCGCGCGCGTGTGTGTATGTATGTATGTATGTATGTATGTATGTATGTATGTATGTATGTATGTATATATATGTATGTATATATATATGTATGTATATATATATGTATGTATATGTGAATAATGAATAGAAACTACCTACTGGTACTTCAATCCTGCGGTACGTATTACAATGGTCTGTAGCTTTCGTGATATGGATATCTAATCCAAATAGATCGTTGTTGACATGCTGCAATTGTGATGCAAGTTGGATATCCACAACAATAAATACTCTTGCAATACTTTGTTTCGCAGAAAGTAATAACATGCTTCAATATTGGTCATATAAAAAGATAATACCATTAGGAAAATATTTCATATGCAATTGTGTTAAGTCTAGCGCGATTGCGATACTTGTACATTGCCCTTATCCCACCATTCATGAATATCAAAAGAATTCAGAGTAGTCTATGTAATGCCAGTCGACGGTATGCGATTCAGAACTCGCTGTACAATTTCTATCTTCCTCGCGCCTGCGGTGTTCAAAAGACTCTCCAGATGATTGTGACTTGATGGCTCGATCCACTTGCAAAAGCAACACTGCCATTCCAACAAAATCCGTTCATCCCCATTAATATTCCACACATTGACGGACCCCAGCAAAAACACTTGCGAAACGGCTGCTTTTGATCTCGATATCTCCAAACACCATACATCCCGCGTCGGCAACCGTGAATAATGGTGGATAAGCTGATTTGATTGAATTATGCGGTTTGACCAGTGTGAGGACCCAATCCTCACTTTTTGGTTTCCTCATCAATGGTTACAATTCCGTCTTTCGCTTGACCGTTTTCTCTCTTCATTTTCTCCTCCTCCCCCCCTCTCCTTCATCTGGGCAAACCCCTTCAGCACACCTCCTAAATTCCATCTAATAGTACATTTTGGGTTATTCTCGCGCGTCTGACTCTCGATATATTCGGTCTCGACACCATGTTTCTTGAGTAGAAGACCCGTTTCTTTGAAGGCTTGTTCGAGCTCCTTGTTTTCAAACTTGATTTCAATATATCATTGCTCTATATGTTCGCCGAGGCATTGTTTGAGTCGCCATGTGGAGAGGCTCATGCCTAGCAATAGACCTGATGCAGCTGATGTCATTGCGACAAAGGTAATGAACGGGGTCGTTCTTGAAGCGCTGGGCAAAGCGTTGAAGGTGAGATTTTAGTGGTGGCATAATAAATTGAGAGCTCTTTATTACTAATTGATGAATGGGATGTTTCTGGGCGGGTAATTTTTTTATAACTCGTGTCCCAAAGAAACGAAACTAAAATTAGCTAAGTCATGTGGTAACATTAGCATCAATGAAAGTGGTTTCCGTACTTAATCATCGCACTGGCTACGGCCTACCAAACAATTCCACCCAATATTGTAGAGAGAACCTTTCTGTATACTTGGTCCAGCCAATTGGAGTTATTGATATTGTAAAAGCTCTATTGAATTCTACTTGAGCGAGTATGATGTGAGCCAGAATTGAGAAGGCTGCAGCTTCACTCGGTTGGTTGGGCTTACATGATGGGAGACAAATTTGTCTTAGACTGCGTAATTGTGATGATTACGGTGTGCAACTCCCTAGGTCGTCTTTATGCTACACTAAGCTCACAACTTCAATGTATTCAGCCTTGCCCGGGGGTGCATGTAGCCATAAAACTGTTCTTTGATGGCTTTTGATTCCCCAATCTTGAACCACATCTATTCAGAGTTTACACTCAATCTCATAGTATGCTCTGCATTGAACACTTCAAACAGATTTGCGAACACATCATTATTTTCAACTTTGAAATAAGCGCGAGTGTCTGTACCTCCCATGCCAGTCTTTGTAAGTGGAAAATATAACAAGAGTCTGACAATCTGACAATTCCTTTCACACTTTTGCGTCGTGCTTCTAACACATGCACCTGTTGAAGTACATCCCTTAAAGCGTGTGGATATCAGATTCTACAATTCCCGTAGTACCGTATTCCATTGACTTGACGCCTAGTGCGCACTTCGATGTGGAAATCAAAGGAACGCGCGTATCTTGTACACAAAGTTCCTACATAGGCTGGACAAGCCGTTGTAGAATAAAAAAAATTAGTGGACAGACTCCATTTTGTTTGTATGAACCAAGACGGTTCGGTGCAGCCACAGTGAGATAGCTAGCGATCTTGTCTCTGTTATATTTCCAATCTTTTGGAAGTTCATAATGCATAAATATACCATGAATCGGCAGTGGGATTACAAGGTGAGGACATTTAGAGGATAGTAACTTGTCGAGTTGCCAAATTGCCGAGGGCAGCAATATCGATAGAAGTCCATCACGGAAGTGTCTCCTCTTCATAGCTTTCAAAGCACTGCCGAAAAGAGCCCCCTGACAGGCGACGGAAAGTGTAGAAGAAATCTTAAGGCAAGGCTCCTCCAAAAGGATTTCCAAACAGACAATGCGGATATATTTGATGTATGCAAACAGCTTCCAGTTATTTTACCGGCCACTATTCGTAAAGGGGGTGAGTATCGTTGCTCAGGCGTCGACCCAAAGCTTTTCTTGGAATCTCCCCCTCAACTCCCCGGTTCCCCAGTTGTTACAGCCTAACCCTCAGTATGTGCAATCCCCGTCTCCCCCCACAATTGGCCATAATACCTTCAAGGTCTGTACAAACACCTCTTAAGCTCTAGTTATCGTTTCCAAGTCGATTCGTCTCTCTCTGCTGTGCTGTGCCACTGTTTACTCTGTCTGCAACACATCCATCCCTCACAACGAATTCAGTTCTCTTTCTCAACAACCGTAAACTTAGGCATCTTCGCTTTATCCTGCTCGGTAGGTTCAAAGCCAAGCTTCTTTTCCGCCGTATCAGACAAATAGAGACCGATTGTACCCCAAGCGATGAAGCTTGCGCCTATCATTGCGCGTGTGCGCGAAGGGAGTGCTCGAAAGGATCTGTTTGATGAAGAAAAATTAGTTGAGAATAAAAACGGGAAACAAGTATGAGAGTCGAAGGAGAGACAGGGAGAGGACATACGACAATAACGACATTTTCGAAGGGTGAACGGGACTACAGTACCTAGTATTTACCAAAACGGACGTGTAGGATTTGTGGTTATTGATATTGAAAATCGATATTCTCGGCTTATTCCGAGACATTTCGGATATCAAATATGAATCCGACATGCCGATGATGGTAGGGGTATTCAAGGTTATGCGAGACTAAAAGGCGTACTTGCATCGGTGCCCCCGCGCAAATCCAGTTTGTAGTTACCTACCTAGTAGCTACCTAGTAGCCACTGAAAGACATATAATTGATTGTCTGTCTTAGTATTATATCATGATCAGCTACTACATAAGTTTTGTTGCGAGTCTTGGAAGATAAGTGTCAGCCGCTCTGAATCAAATTGTTCGATTAAAGTATTGATCAATCCCGGAGAAGCCTTCATCGAAAGTTATCATCACCTCCCAGTCGTCACAAATGGCAGATGTCAAAGCCCCTCCAACGCTCTCCTCAGATTTCTTGTCACTACCCGTCGAGCTCATGAGATTTGTGATCCTTTATATGGACTTACCCGCTATCAAGTCTACCCGTTTGACTTGCAAGTTTCTCTCCTTTCTCAGTACACCATACCTCATCCTTCCCAAATTCCATGGTTTCGCCCATCGTCCCGATTTCAATCGTCTCCTCCAACTATGCCGTCATCCAACCTTCTCATCCTGTATTCAATCTATCGAACTCAATCTTGGCGACATCGATGAATTTCATGCAAGGCGGAATGCGTATTTCCTCTCTCCAGAACCTAATATATTCAATCCAGACACTCGTGCAGAACTAGCTGAAGAAGCTTGGTTTCGATATTCTAGTCTCAAGTTCTTGAAAGAGGAATACAGCTCCCGAATATGTGATCCGGATATATTGTCTGAAGTCTTCCGTTCCCTGCCTAATTTTTCAGCCCTGTCTGTTTCTATGGCCAATTTCCCCTTACCCGATGAACCGGCACTTTCTCTACTAGCATCGGTTTGGAGAGTTCCTTCGACGAGATTGCTCCGCAGAGAACTGACCAAGGAGCGTTTTACCACTATTCTAGTTTCACTACTCCGCAGTGTTGAGGTTCTGAAGCTCAGAAAACTGTCTCATGATTGCTTACCATTTGAGTTTTTGGCGCAGAACAAGGCTCTATTCGAGTCTATAACACCTATCTTTTACAATCTTACAGATTTACGCTTGGCTCTGGATTATAGCGATATACCTAATGATTTGAGTTTCCAAGAAGTATTTGCGAACATCGCTACATGCTTGAACGCTGCTACGAATTTGGAGAATTTCAACCTGTGCTTTCAGTCAAAGCGTAAGATTGATATTACACTACTGCTTGAGGAGCTTTTGTCAAAATCTAAAGAATCGAATCATATTTTACCTTCCCTTCGAAGCCTACATATAGAAGGCGTGTCAAGTAGATTCCATGCACTGGAAAGCTTTCTTACATCATTGGCGTCTACTCTCGAAGTAATAGAGTTTGGAGGAGATGGATGTCATGAGCCCAATCGATTTTCTAACGGAGGGATACATTTACTGGATGGGAAATTTCGAAGATTATTTGAGAATGTGGAGAGAGCTGTTGGAGACTCATTGACGAGATTTGTTGTTAGGGGTGATTTAGTGGAGATCGAGGGCGGGGGTTCTTGGTTCCTCAATAGGGAAGTTGGATGGCACGGGGCTATGGATTGAGATAGGGTTGATGAGACAATAACAAAGTGCGAGATCAGCAACTGCTTTAGTACTCACGCGCTTCGCCGTTACGTACTCAGCAGCGACCCCGGAAAACACCAAGCCGAAGGAACCACATAATGTTTCACGCACTGCCAATACTGGGGCCTGGCTCTCAGGCCATAATGCCCTGTGGTTTTGGTCAACTTCTCCTACTTCCACTTCCGATACAGATGGGGGTCTGAAGACTTTTAATACGGCCAGCCAAATGGCCCATGCTTATGGTTCATCTCTGACTTCTATCATCAAATCTGTTATGGATATTATACACACTGTGTATAGATTGCACGCCTCACTAAGGCCGTTGATACGTAGGAAGTTAGCACGTGAGCTGAAGGTAGAAGCGGGTGTCCAAGGAGGAAATTTTCGATCGGATATATCACTATTCCACGTTACTATTGTGGAAACAAGTTACATTATCCAGTCGTCGCTGCAACCTTGGCTCCGAGTGTTGTCGTGCCGATGTGAGCATGAGAGTGAGCAATCATAAGATATGGCGGTTCTCGGTTTTGGCCTCACCTCTTCTATAATGAAGCGGTGATATCTTGATCGAGCCTTGGAGATTAATTTAATAACTGAGAGTAACCAAAACGGGTACTGCTTGCTCGAGCACTATCTCATACAGAAACGCCTTTTCAAAGCGGATATTCTGGACTTGTTAACCTGTGGTCTGGAGGATGATATTTTTATGTTGTGTTCTTGGTCTGATTTGACAAGATCTAGAAGTTCTGCTCCGGGGATTGCATATAACAGTGGAGGCTAGAAACCAAGGCTTTATATATATCTATAGATATGCTTCAATATACAGGCTTTATTAAGATGCATGCGCAAGACTTTAATTCCAATTCGCGTAGCCCTCCACATCAGGAATATCTAAATTCAAACCATATAAGTACATTCCGTAGGTAGGGAATGAGGGAGAGACAGTGGTATGGTAAGGAAAGCTTCAATACCATCTATCGCTAAAAGTCCAATTGGTACAAATTTACTCTAGTTTTTCCGAGATTTCTGTTGCCAATCCAAACGATTCGGAAATAAAACAATAGCTATCGAATACATCCTGGCAGAAGCAGGGTCGTGGAGGAAATCAGTGAGTTTCTGTCACCTACGATACGATCGATATAGTTTCATTTTCTAATCTCCGTCTTGGGTTGTTATATGGTATCGACATAGAATTTCCGGTTGGTCGTATCAGGATAAGAGCTTTAGGCTTTATTCTGTTGATTGCGAAATGCTTTGCTTTCTGATATCATGGCTGTTTAGCTATACAGGCACGGAACTTCTTTTCTCTTGTTTGTAGTAATCGAGGTGCAGAAGTCAGTATTCAGTCGATCGGTTTACTTTGATCTTCAAAGTTTTCGTTCCTGCATGCAACCTCTCATTCACCATCTATTTCCCTCCTTCCACACTTTCACATCCCTACTAGATATCCCCCTCCAAAATAATATTAAAGTATTCCCTATCCCATCCCATCTCCATACCCTCCCATCCCAAACTATCCCAATCCCTATTCCATCCCGACTCTCCACTCTCCACTCCCCTAACCCCCGATCCCCAAAAATACAAGAATCCGAACTCAAAACTCAAACCCCTATTCAATCACGCAACACTTAACCGAATGACGTAACAGACAGTGCTCCACTATCACCATCCCCTTCCTATTCCCATTTCACATCTCATTTCCCATCCCCCCATCCCCATCCCCATGCCAATCCCGCTCCCCATTCGATACATCGAAATGCTATATCGAAATCCCAGAAACCCCAGAAACCCCAGCAAATCCCTTATTTAAACCTCACTCTCTTCCCTGATCAAGTTCCCATCCACGAACGTATATACCCACCCCAAGCCATCCCAAACCCAAACCACAGCATCGGATTCGGAATTTTTCATCTCAAGAACGCGGGGATTATTGAAGATTCGCTCTAGGCCGTATCTAGCTACTTGGATATCTGATACCAGGTACCCAGGAGGTATGACTTACATATAATATAGTGTACATCATACCTGCATCATATATACATGCATATTCATACATACAGATACATCCCAGGGACTAGCTATATGTAGCTAGGTAGGTATATATATCATCTCAACATCACAAATATGAATCCTAACGTCTTCCTCCTTCAGGACACGGCATCAAAGACACCCCAAAATAATTCCTTCATATAAACCAAACAATTCATTCAACATCTTAAATTTTATTTTCATATTCTAATCACTAATAAGCATCTTTTCTCTTCCTTCCTTCCCTATCTTATCTTTTCCTTTCTTATCCAAACCAATCCAATCAACCCCGTCACCAGTCCAAAAACGCCAGCCCAGTGCCGCTAAACGCTATCGTATACAAACACCAATACGCCTTCAATTTCTAGAATTTTCCCAACCCTCACATCCAACTCCATCCATGCATCATTTTTCGTTGATCTTTTCGTACACTCATTTTCCTTCCCATTTTCCCTTCTCCATTACCATTATCCCCTACTCATCCCGTACCGACTCCGAATCCGAATTGTTTTCTGAAGATGAAGTCGAATCAACCTCAATCACCGTAACTGCAGGGACCATCTTGTTTTTACTATCTTTTCTCCTTGCACCAATCCATTGATCCCCTTCTTCCTCAACCCCCTCATCCCTTCTCGTTCTCTTAACCATAAAACATTGAGCCGCTCCCACCACTGCCACAAGTGCACTTCCAAGCCAAGCCAGTGCTGTGAAATTTGTCTTACTACCAAGCGCATACAAGTATCCCGCAACAGGTGGAGCTACAGTCCTACAAGCTGCACCTGCCGATGCTGCAAGGCCATTGACTTTTCCGAGAACGTTTGGAGAGGGTGTAGCTTCTTTGATGAGGATGAGAAGAACGGGGTATATTAGTATTGAAAGAAGATTGCGGACAAATAGAGTCGTGTAAAGACCAATAAAGAGATACGAAGCGGGAAGATAGACGAGGACAGGTACCATAAGATACGCAATTGGATGTAGGACGCTGACTACAATGAAGAGTTTATAAGTGCCGAGAAATTCTGCAGCCCAAGGAAATATGACTGCTTGGACAAATAACGCAATAATGCCATTTATAGACATAATTACACCAACTTGTTGAACAGATAGACCAAGACCTCCAGGCATCATAAATTCGCTAGTCATGATGGATATGCTTTCCCTCGGGCCCTTTGTATCTTCAAGGAAAATGGGAAGTAAATGATCATATGTCATGGAGTGATATGTGAATATTCCCAATGCGATAATCAAAGCCACAACATTTTTGTTGAAAATTTGGGGAGAGATCGATTTAGTGGGCGTGTTTCTCCACTCACTATCATCACTGCCCTCGAAAGTTCCGTAAGTTTCGGCGCGCAAGTCGACCGCGGGTGTTTTAATGGCATCGGCAGTGGCCATCAATGGGGTT